AAAAAAATAGATCAGAAGTATTTTTATAGTAAAATTCAGGGCAAATTTGCCCTGAATTTCAAACGGTTTAAGGGATATACAATCTTCGTATGAATGACAATTATATTACAGTAAACGACGTGTGGTTTAATCCACTGACTATCAAAAATTTTTTAGAATTATCTGATGGTATTGAAATATTTTATTGGCCATTCAATAGCTTCATTCAAAGTGATCCAAATCCTCTTGACCCTAATAGAGATTTACTTTGGGTTAAGAATTGGGTAAGAAAAACTGGTGAACCTATGAGTTTTACGCCACAACAGATCAAACAATTACGTGAAGTTAAATCACAAGGTCTTAATCACCAACATCAGGTCATAAGTAGTATTATACAAACTCCTGAGACAACTCCAAATGCTTCCGCCTCGATATGGAATGCTTTAATTAGTGTTGGTAATACTAGTTTTGTATTTCAGGTACTTGATGCTTTCCATTACATAGCTAGCGAAGAAACTATCAAGCTTGAGCTGATAGAATCTAGATTCAAAATTGATCCGGATTATAATGTCGCTGATGCATTTCTTTCATAATCAAAAACAGTGAGTTTATTACTATATTTACAGTAAAATAATAATATGAGCTTGTTTCATAATGATAAAATTAATTATCAGGAACCGGAAACTGAATAATTAGTAAAGTAATCAATTAAGAAATTCTAAAACTAACATGCTTCCCAATTTTATCTTAAAACTATACGATAAAAGGTCATTATAAATTAAACAAACTCATGAAAACTCGGGTGTGACATATACAAAATGATAAAAGCGAAATTACGAGACAATAAATTGTATCAAATAGAAAAGGTAAACATTTTAAAATTATTTTTTCTTAAAATATATGTTATAATTATCGATTTTGTAATTCGATAGATTTGGCGCCTTAGCAGCATCTTTTCTAATGTTCGAACAAAATAGAGAAATTTTTCTTTCATCATTTTTACTGTTATTTTTTTAACGTTAGACGTGGATTCAATTGCATTTTAAAATCTAGTTTTGCGACATAATCTTTTATTATCATTGTTGATAATGGAAATCTTTCTTTCGTGTACATTAACATTAATGAATTTACATTCTATTGCTAAATAAAATTAATATGCAAGTTTGGGTTCGTGAATTTTTTGACTTGACGCTTAATTTTAATATGCTTGTACGACAAATACTGATACTGTGATTTGAATTAATGTTTATGTTTTTATTATATGTTTATTATAAAAAAAAACTGAATATTAATATGTGAAAATCAGGAATCGAGGTTGTAAATTTATAATTTAACGACGATTTAACGTCTTAATTATACATGTTTTCAAGGATTGAATCAGGTGTTTAAGAATTAAATTTGGATTTTTCTTAATGCCACTCATGTATCAAAGAAGAAGCTTCGAATTTACTAAAATATTCGTATGTACTAGTACGAAAAATTTTATTTTGTTTTAAGAAAAAATCTAGTTGTCGCCGGCGGTGACACGGTGACAGTCGTAAATGACCAATAACATCATGTAACGGAATCAAAACAAACGCTAAAGTTAATTTTCGTTAGGGTAAGGGTTAGAGTTTAGTTGGGGTTGGGATAATGCATAGTGTATAGTAGAATTTTGCAAGGAATTTTTTTAATTAGAACGCTAAAGGTAGTTTTATAGGCGAAATTTTGAGCTATAGCGAAATTTTGAAAATTTTCTATGTTTTCTTCGTTTTCGGGTTACACAAACGTTACACCTGATCCCGTGGCGTGATTGGCTAATTGCCACTGTCACCGTGTCACCGCCGGCGACAAATAGATTCGCTCTTGTTTTAATGTATGTACGTACGTTGTGAGGGGGAAAACTGGTTAAGATCGATGTCGAGATGGCTTGGTTCGATTCTGCCAAATCGGACATATCTGACTTATCTGCAGATATACCATTTATGTTGGATATGGAAGATGTGGCGAAATAAGACGAATATGCCATATATGACATATGGTAGAAATAAAAGAAAAATGCGAAGTAAAATTAGTAACAGACAAATGTATTTAAACGCTGCAAAATCGATTGTGAACAAAATAACTCCCCTTAGAGTTCATAATTACAAAAGTATATAAGTAGTAGTTTCAAGGTTCCTGCTTCTTAATAAATCGTAACGTAAAGTCGTATATCGTATTTTCTTGTCCCCGTGATCCAACGATATTATTTATCATTAGTACATTAAAAAGCAAAAGAGAAAGATCATATTAGTAATTCACCTCTATTTATATAAAACTAGTAAATTGATTAAGTTCATGATTAGCCCCATTATTAATAATAAGATAGCTGCGCAGCATATGGTGCCGCACAGAACCAGTATCAGTAAAGTTTATGCATATGCATGTGAGTACTCAGGTATATACAGGATTGAGTTATGGTGACTAGAAGTAAACTGGGTTGTTTTAATATACAGCACTGTTATTTCAGCCACGGAGTTTGCAACCCATTTATTGAAGGTCCATGCATTGAACCTAGCAGCCGCACCAAAATTTCATGGATAATCCTCGATTTTGATTGGCTATTCCATGTAAACAAATAAACAAATAATTTTCAAGGCTGCAGATCATTTCCGACCTAACTCTGGATGCCGAAACTCACTAATTTAAATTTTAATTTTTTTTTTAAAGTTTGAGCAAAAATATCTCGACAACCGCATAACCAAATCTTAATAAATTTTTTTTTTTAAATTTAATTCTGCATATTAACAGAATTAAAATAAAAAAAATTTATAAAATTTGGTTAGGTAGTTTCCAGAATATCTTTATTCAAATTTTTGAATTTTTTTTATTACAACTTAATAGTTTCAATTTACAAAATTTATTTTTTTAATTACACTTAATTGTTTCAATTTATGAAATTTATTTTTTTATTTAATTATATATATATATAGACTTTATAATTATTATTAAAATTTTTGTTTAAATATATAAAATTTATTTAATTTTATTAAAAATTTTATTAAACTATACAATTTTAAATTTATAATGCTATTAATACAAATGTTGAAGTCAACATTGACTCCAACATTAAAGCCAACATTGACTTCAATGTTGAAACCAACATTGAAGCCAATGTTGACTTCAACATTGAAGCTAATATTGAAACCAATGTTAAAGCCAACATTGACTTCAATGTGAAGCCAACATTGAAGCCAATATTGAAGCTAACATTAACTCTAATGTTAAAGCCAACATTGAAACCAATATTGACTTCAATATTGAAGACTCCAATGTTGAAACCAACATTGACTTCAACGTTGAAGCCAACATTGATTTAAACATTGAAGCCAATATTGACTCCAATATTAAAGTCAATATTGAAGTCAATGTTGAAGTTAATATTGAAGCCAACGTTGACTTTAATGTTGACTCCAATATTGAAGTTAATATTAAAGCTAATATTGAAGCCAATGTTGAAGCTAACATTGACTTCAATGTTGAAACCAATATTGACTTCAATATTGAAGTTAATATTAAAGCCAACATTGAAGTCAATATTGACTCTAATATTAAAGCCAATGTTGACTTCAATGTTGATTTCAATATTGAAACCAACATTGAAGTCAACATTGACTCCAAAATTGAAGCCAACATTGAAGCCAATATTGACTTCAATATCAAAGCCAATATCAACTTCAATGTTGAAGCCAATATTAAAGCCAATATTGAAGCTAATATTGAAGTCAACATTGAAACCAACATTGAAGCCAACATTGACTCCAACATTGAAGCCAACATTGAAGCCAACATTGACTCCAAAATTGAAGCCAATATTGATTTTAATGTCATAGCCAATATTGACTTCAACGTTGAAGCCAATATTAAAGCCAATATTGATACTAATACTGAAGTCAACATTGAAACCAATGTTGAAGCCAACATTGACTCCAATATTGAAACCAACATTGAAGCCAATGTTGACTCCAATGTTGAAGTCAATGTTGACTCCAACATTGAAGTCAATATTGACTTCAACATTGAAGTTAATGTTAGTCTCAATATTGAAAAAATAATAAAAGAAGCATTGAAAAAGTGATGAAAGAAGCACTGAAAAAGCAATGAAAAAAGAACTGAAAAAACAATAAAAAAACTACCAAAAAAATGACAAAAGAAGCACCAAAAAAATAACAAAAGAAGCACCAAAAAAATGACAAAAGAAACATCAAAAAAATGATGAAAAAAATATAGAAAAAATGATAAAAGAAACAGAGAAAAAATGACAAAAGAAGCATCATAAAGTGATGAAAGAACCACCAAAAAAATGATGAAAGAAACACTGAAAAAATGATGAAAAAAGCACTGAAAAAGTGATGAAAGAAGCACCAAAAAAATAATAAAAGATGTATCAAAAAGGCAATAAAAAAACAAAAAAAAACAACAAAAAAAGCATTGAAAAATGACAAAAAAATTAATTTTAGTATTCAAGTAAACAAATAAACAAAAATGGAGCTCAGAGCCAGATCAGAAATGATTTGTTTATTTGTCTACATAGAATAGCCAATCAAAATTAAGGATTATTTGTAAAATTTTGGTGCGGTAGCTAGGTTCAATAGTCTATGCACTACTATAGTAGCCATGGAGCCTAAAACAAGTCTTTACACTGCTACTGCAGCTGTGAAACCTAATTGCCAAGGTTCTCATACTGTTGCTGCTGCCTAATTGCTACAAAAACCAGATATTACAATACTACTGCAGCTATGGAGTCTAATTACTACAAAAACAAAATCCTTGTACTACTGCAGTAGTCGCAGAGTTTCATAGTTACAAAAATAAAAAACCAAACCAAAACTAGGCCCTTACACACTACTGCTTGACATTACACCTTGTCACACAAGTCAACCATCAAGTATTTAAACTTATTGTGGGTTACTGCATTGTGGGTGGGACAGGAGAGTTTTGAACCGGGTTTATTTTTTATATGTTAAAACCAGTTAAAACCAGTTTTAACATATGAAAAATAAAACCAGTTCAAAATTCTAGACGATAGAGTAGCATTTCTGCAAAGCAAGCAATAGCAAAGAGTAAGATAAGCTTTTTTTACTAAAAACATCACCCGTAAATACACTACATTACATCTTTCTCCCTTCATCCCACTGACCTGATTCACGCTTGAAGCCATATAAAAATACTCTTTTACTTTAGCACTAATTTGTAACATTCATATCTATACTTAACGATCATAAACTTAACCAAGAAAAACCTGATCTAACAGGAACAACACAGCAAAACAGTTCATAAATGGTCAATCTAAGCATGTAATCTATAAAGTCATCTGATTAGGAATAGCAACGGTCAGCTTAGCTGACCGGCCAAGCCGTGGTTATCTCGTGATCCAGCAATCCAAATTGGATGATTTTAGTACCATCCGAATTGTTCAATAAAACGATTTGAATAGTACTAAAATCATCCAATTTGGACTACTGGATCGTGAGATATAGCTAACGGCCACAAAATGGCTAGCTGAAAATGACTGACCATGGCAATTCGATGAAAAGCTACTCATTATTAAAAAATTAAAAAGAACATCTCATCA